CACACACACACACACACCACTCCGCGACGACACACGCCACGCACACACACACGCCGCTCCGCTCCGCTCCGCGCCGCTTCGCGCCAGGCGTCTTTGGACTGCTGCAACTCGTCGCATTCGTCGAATTGGTGCGATCGCACGTCCCGTCGAAACAGTTCAAACTGCTCCTCACAGTCGCCGTCGTCGTCGTATTCGGTCTGGCATTCTCGGCGCTGGTGGCATTGACGTATGGAGGGTACATTGCACCTTGGACAGGCCGATTCTACAGCTTGTGGGATACGGGCTATGCGAAAAAGCACATTCCCATCATCGCCTCTGTCTCCGAACATCAACCTCCAGCCTGGCCAGCATTCTTTTTCGACCTGGAGATGCTCATCTTTTTGTTTCCTGCGGGCGTTTACCTGCTCTTTAGGGAGCTGCGCGACGAGCATGTGTTTGTCATCCTGTACGCCGTCATGGCTTCCTACTTTGCAGGCGTCATGGTTCGCCTCATGCTCACCTTGACGCCGGTTGTTTGCGTCGCCGCTGCCGTCGCCGTCTCCATCTTGCTGGACACGTATCTCGACCCGCACGAGCCGGAAGCGCATGCGAGCGGGGAAGAGGACGCGGTGCGAGAGACGACGCGCGCGCACCGCGGGACGCGAGCGCCCACGCGGGCGCCCACTCGCACGCCCGGCGTCTACGGTCTCGACACGCGTATCGTCGTCAGCGTCTACACCCTCCTCCTCCTCCTCGTCTTTGTCTTGCACTGCACATTCGTCACTTCCACGGCCTACTCTTCGCCATCCGTCGTGCTGGCATCGCGCAATCCAGACGGTTCGCAGCACATCATCGACGACTTTAGAGAGGCGTACTATTGGTTGCGACAGAATACCGCTACAGATGCCAAGGTGATGAGCTGGTGGGATTACGGCTATCAAATCAGCGGCATGGCGGATAGGCCCACGCTTGTGGACAATAATACCTGGAACAATACCCACATTGCCACCGTCGGCAAGGCGATGAGCAGTCCAGAAGAGCGGGCTCTGCCTATTCTGCGCAAACACGACGTGGATTATGTGCTCATAATTTTTGGCGGTCTGTTGGGGTATTCGGGAGATGATATCAACAAGTATTTGTGGATGATTCGAATCGCGCAAGGCATCTGGCCCAACGAGATCAAGGAGAGCGACTTCTTTACGCCGCAGGGGCAATTCAAGATTGATGATGGAGCGAGTCAGACGATGAAGAATAGTCTCATGTACAAGATGAGCTATTACCGCTTCAATGAGCTGTATGGCGGTAGACCGGGTATGGACAGGGTGCGAGGAACGCAGACTGCGAGCGTCGCGCCGCAGTTGGATGTGCTGGATGAGGCTTTTACGAGTTCGAATTGGATTGTGAGTGCGCGCGAGCGGCGGCGGCGCGAAGCGGCGATGGCGTGCGCGTGCGTGCGGCGCCTGCTGACTCCTTTCACGTCTCGCTCGCCCGCAGGTGCGAATCTATGCCGTCAAGCCAGAGGATCCACTCGGAAGAGATCTCGTATCCGCCAATGCATTCGAAAAGGGCAAGCGCAGGAAACGCGAGGCGGGAAGCGTCAAGGGCAAGAAGCGTGTCGAGAAGCGTGTCGCGTAGAGAGAAATGTGATGAAGTGTGCGCGCGTGCGTGTCCGCGTGTCACGCTCTCTTTCTGTGCCCGCGTGCGTGCCCCCGCGCCCGCGCCCCCACCTCAACACGCCATGACGAGCGTTTGTTTTCATGGCGACGCGTGCTCGTTTCACGGTTGCGCAAACGCACCCCCACGCCATGGCGCTCGAGGAGCTGGGGGGGCCAAATCGAGCGCCGCACACCAGTGGTCGCACCTTTTATTCTATTCTGAGCTGCGTGAGGCGTGCGGTCGGTCGGTCGTCGCGTTTAGGATCGCTGGATAGCTTCGTTCCGAAGAGGTACATGCGCGCGCGCGCGGTCATTTTAAACGGTTTTCCCGAGATGAATCACATTCGCGCTACGTGCACGCGCGCAAATGCTTGCTTTACGTGTCATCGCATCGTGCGCCCTCAGTATCCAGCACCCACCTGTTTTGCGTACCGGTTAGGGTTCGGGTTAGGCAGGTTAGGGTTAGGGTGCGGTTAGGATTAGGGTTAGGCAGGTTAGGGTTAGGGTTAGGCCGCCGCGCAAGCGGCTTGGGTTTTCTTCTTTATTCTTCGAGCTGAACTCGGGTCCAACGCGCGCGACTGCATGTGACTCGTCTTGCTGGCGTGTACCATAGACAGCAGCCCGGTCAAACCAGCGCGAGGGAGATCGATCCCGCTTCTCGTCCCGCGCGTGCGTAATCGCGTGAATGGGCGTGCGCGCGCGCCCCCACCCGCAGCAGCTGCATGCGCGTGCATGTGCATGCTGCGCCGCATGCTTTTCACACGTAAGTTGCGCACGCACGCACGCGCGCGGCGTCGCTCGGGCAATCCATCTTCCAAACCACGATCTTTGCGCACGCACGCACGCACCCACGCTCACGCTCACGCCCACGCTCACGCTCACGCCCACGCACCCACGCTCACGCACCATGGCTGCTCTTCCCCCCGAACTGCAAGTACTCATCGCTGACCTGGCTGCCCAGCACGACCGCTTAACCGCCCTGGCCTTGTTGACCACTTCGAAATTGCTCTCTCCATCCGGCGTAAAAGGCCTCTTTGAGCATCCATTCTTGCACACGCTGGCTCAAGTACAGAGCTTCACCGCAGCTCTTCAAAGGCCGCAATTGAAACCTCTGGTCAAGAGCTTGGCGATAGAGGACCGCTATCTGAACCATTCGACCAGCTTGGCGCGCTTTCCCGATGCATGGCAGCCGCCGGAGGAGGGTCCTGACGAGCGCGAAACGGCGACCTATCGACTTTGTGAGCTGATCGAGGAGCTGGTGACTGTGCACAACCTCTCCGCTCTCGCCCTCACCGTGACGGGTGCTAGGAATTTTTTGGACATTATGGAAATGCAAAGAAGCCTTATGAAGCAGTACCGCAAGGCGCCTCCTTTCTCCCAGCGCCTTGCCATCGACAAGCTGGCCATCACAGGCTCCGATATCCAGTCAAATTTCTTGTTCGATTGGTTCCTGCCTCGACAGTTGAATCTCTATGTATGCGACGACAGTCTCTGGGGCATGGGAACGCATAACTGCATGTTCTTTGCGCTAGAAGAAGCGGACCCATCCCCTGAGCTCGTCCTCTCTGTTGGAAATGTCGATGCCGAAGGCGAAGCAGCTGCTGTAGAAGCGTTGCTCCCGCTGTTCAAGAAGGCCCAAGATGCGCGAGAGGGGGTGCGCTCGGCGGGGGTGCGCTCACGCGTGGTGCTGCGCTTGCGCCGCAATCTCGTGTGTCGCAAAGCAGTCGAGCCTGTCATTGCGAGGGCGCAAGGTCGTAGTCGCTACGAGCTTCGATACGCCAGCTGGGATACGAGGGAAGCCAAGACTCAATTGGAAGCCGAGCAACTAGACTTTTGCAGCGGTGCTTGGCGTCAAGTCGCGTGGGGTGGCCATGACGCGCGGGCGCGGGATGGCGCGCGGGATGTCGCTTCGGATCAAGATCACGCGCGGGATGACGCGGACGCTCTCGTTGGCCCTCTCGAGGGATGGTCTAACGATGCTTACAATGATGTCACGCCGGAAGATGACGAAGAATATGTTCACACCGAGGCTGAACTCGATAGACGGCGCGCGGAGATGGATGACATTTGGATCGCCTTGGCGCAACCCGGCCGCGCGCCCCAGGACTCGGCGCCCCAGTAATCTGCATCGCTTAGGGTTAGATCTGAGCAGGACGCCCGCGCCCCAGTACTCTGCATCGCTTAGGGTTAGAGCAGCACGGTTAGGGTTAGGGTTAGGCCGCCGCGCAAGCGGCTTGAGTTTTATTTGTAATCGAGCGTCGCCATACTCGCCCCTTCGCGTCTCGACCACGGGCTTTATACACGTGCGCCACGATCGAATGGAGAAACGGGAGCCACGACGCGACGCGCTCACCACGTTTTTCAAGTCACGCCTGTCAATCACACCGGCGCCAATCACAAATCGAAAAGGCATGGATGACGCCCGCCGATGACGAGTGCGCATCACACGACGACAGCGCAGCGCGCCACTCGTGACTGATATTTCGTGTGAGCGCGAGTGTACAGGGAAGCAACGCGAGTGCGTGCGCGTGCGTGGCAATCTCTGCGCCGCAATCCCTACGCGCTAGTATCGCCGAAATGCAGCGCATCCCAACCCAGCTCGGCAAGTGTCGGAAGGACGTTGCGCACGACGATGGCTTGCAGGTACATGCTCTTGTCGGATTCGATAAATCCCAGCGAGTCGTCATCGAGTTGCTGCGCGAGACTACCGCTCGTGTGCGAGGGCGGCGCAACACGCGGGATGATGACATTGCCGCTGCGACCTGGCTCGTGCTCCTTTCTGCGCTCGCCGGCCGCATGCTGCTCGTTGCTTCGAGTGCCGATGTCAGACGCAGTTGTATGCTGCCCGTCGTCCTGCGTGTGACTGCCAGAGGTGATTTGCTGCTCGTGCTGCTCGAGGGGAGCGCGGTACGTCAGCGTGGAGGTGGCGCTGAAAAAGCGGCATCGGCCAGAACTCACATGTGCGCGCTTCGCAGCAGCGAATGCTTCCTCTACGGGTACTCGAGTGCCAGGCATGCTCCCAACCAGAAGCATATCTTTCGCAGGCATCTCGACATGGAACGGCTCCCCGTCGAGCGATAAGTGAAATGCGATCATCTCGTGCGCCGGCACGACGCGAGCGGACGTGACCAGCTGCGACTCGCCGTCCTGTGTACATGCGCTCGAATTCGTCAGCAAGTCACCAGTGAAATGACACGCCGCGCCGCCTTGACGGGGTGCATGCGGGGTGGTGCACGGAGGAAGCCGGCGCCCCACTCACCGCACTCAACAAGGTGTCGCCAGGTCGAATGTTGCGAGCCTCCACCAGTTCGCGTTGGCCGTTGAAGACGAACATGACGGGTGGTGAGGGAGTGCGTGTGGATGTGAGTGAGGCGAACCCACGAGGCGCGAGTGAGGTGCGTGGGTGACGTGAAGAAGCACAATCGCGGCGGCGAGCGAGCGAGCGAGAGGTGGGTATAGTGCGCGCGAGTGAGGCGGGTGAGTGGTGGTGAAGAAGCGCGGCGAGCGAGAGGTGGACATACAGGAACATTATCGCGCGCGCGCGTGCGTTGTTGGCGCTCCCTCATCGGCTCTCTTTAGTCGTTTGTCGTCCACCACGTGGATGCGTTGGTCGACCTCATCATGACCTCTGCAGCCCGTGTGCACGATGGAGCGCCCCAGTAGTCCAGCAGCATCGGTCGAGCAATGCCTGTAGCTGCTCCCTTCAGCCCGCGCGCGCATCAAGGTGGACGTGGGCGCGCAGAGGCGGCGCGAGCACGCGCGGGCTTCAGCGAGAGCGTCCTCCAGCAGCGAATCGTGACCTTCAGTCGTCACGCGCGAGCTTCAGCGAGCGTCCTCCATCAGCATATAGTCCCACCCACTCCTCATTGCACGAGCACGCGCGAGCTCCAGCCAGCGTCCTCCATCAGCGAGTCGTCACTCGCACGCGAGCTTCAGCGAGCGTCCTCCATCATCAAATTGTGCCTCACGCGCGAACTCCAGCAAGCGTCCTCCATCATCAGATCGTGACTCGCACTCGCCACCGCACTCGTCGCTGCACTCGTCGCTGCACTCGTTGCTGCACTCGTCGCGCCGCTCGTCGCGCCGCTCGTCACCGCACTCGCCACCGCACTCGCCACACTCGCCACCATGCAATGCGAGCTCGGCAAGGACGCCTCCAAGCCACCGATCAAGCGCCAACTCTCCCAGCGCCCGATCAAGGCGACGTGATGATGCAACAAGTATTGGAGCAGCTAGCGGAGATAAAGAGAAAAGTCGAGGAGGTGAGGGTAGAGGCGGCTGAGAGGGAGCAAAAGTGGGAGAGGCGGCTCGATGCAGCGCAAATGCTCGACCCCGAGGCGCATCAGGGCGACACCGAAAGAGTCCCCTCGCCAGCAAGAGGAGGCCAGCTTCGAGGGCGCTTCACGCGCTTCACGCGCTTCACCAACATCTCGACACCCGAGCCGCAGCTCGACAATCAAGTCGACCAAACTCTTGCACGCGGCGGCGCAAAGCAAAAAGATGAAGCTGTGCTCGACCGCACGAACCCATTGGCATCGTGTCTGCAATGGGCGCGACCAAGGAAGGGTATGATTGGACCGTTGCAGGGCAAAAAGAAGGCCATTCTTACGTCGATCACTTGAGCATGGCGATTTGGGCGAGCGAGCGCGCGTAACGAAAAGTGAGTCGAGTCGCGCGCGGAGAGCGCACGTCAAAGACTAACACGCGGTTAGGGTTAGGGTTAGGGCAGGTTAGGGTTAGGGTTAGGCTGCCGCGCAAGGGTTAGGGTTAGGGTTAGGGCAGGTTAGGGTTAGGGTTACA